AAGACATTCAGTTTTGTCTGTGACAGCGACATAGCTATATCACAGTTAGAAATCGTGTCAACTCTAAATAATGACATTGCTTTTAAGTATCGAACTGAGAAAGTGACTCGGTAAGAAGAACGTGTGGTGAAATAGACAAATGAAATTATATAAACAGTTTATTTACTGTCATAACATACAAAAAGCTCGCGCCTGTGAGATATCAACAAAACATTATGAAACTAGCTCACACCAAAGCCTTCACCGAGTATTCACCAGACAGCCCGCTTCCAAGTTGCGCGAACCAATTTCACTGCGCACGTGCTATGAGCGCAGCCAGCTGTTGAAACCCGTATTCCCCAGAAAAGTCTGGGGAAAATTAGTGAAACGTTTGAACTCCGATTTCGCGCGTTTTTTTTCATCGCGTTATTTTTCAACTTTATAAGTTGAATTTGCATTTTTGACGCTTTGTTTCGGTAAGTCCATACCGAAAGGTATCAGAATCTGCAAAGTTGTGTTTTACGTTGCATGTGACCTTTAAGCGGAACACCAAATTCATTCGTTAAAAAACTTGTGGTTAATCAATACCGGGCGATTAAAAGTTGCTAAAAAGTAGTTTGCTTCACGCTCGCCCGCCAACGAAACCACAGACAGGTTACGTAACTCTGTCGCCAGAGTACTGTAGCGAAAAGGAAGTGACGTACTGTGTGGAAGGATATTCAGTTAGGAGTATATAAAGTGTGTAACAGGCTTCATCCTTTTTCAGTCAAGCCCAAATTAATGATATGTAAAACGTTTCATAATGTTAGTGTCTGGAATGGTGCAATTGATTACCGCTCCTTACAGAATGTAAGGATAATGAATTTATCAATCCTGCAGATAAACAGGTCACAACAGATAAAAACCCCAAACAAGCACACTCAACGCCAGCTGTTCATTTCACACACAAGTGGACATGATGTTGCGAACCTGGACATGACTGGACATCAACAGTTGGAGCACTGGATCATGATCGATATTTATTAGAACTGCTGGTCGATGATCGACGGTAGTGGAGCTGGTGTGTGATGATCGACAGTGTGGAGAACTGCTATCGATCATGACCCAGTAGTTCTCAACACTGTCGATCATCACCCATTAGTTTCCCAAGTGTCGATCATCACCCAGCAATTTCACCAACTGTCAATCATCACCCAGTAATCCCCCCACACTCAGACACAAACACACTGACAATCATCACCAGATGTTACCCCTATGTCGACCATCACACAGCAGTTGTCCCCATTGTTGATCATCACCCACTTGTTGTCCCTATATTCGATCAGCATTCAACAGTTACACAAAACATTGATCATCACCCAGTAGTTTTCCCCATTGTTGATCATCACCCAGTAGTTGCCACAAGTATCGATCATCACCCAGTAGTTGCCACAAGTATCGATCATCATCCAGGAGCTCCAACAACCGTCAATCATCACCCGGGAGCTCCAACAATCGCCTGTCATCATCGAGATGTTCTCCTGAATGTTGATCGGTACCCAGTAGTTCCAGCCACTGTTGATCATAATCCACTAGAGTTCCTCCCACACACTTTTCATCACCATCCAAAATTTCCCCGAACCATCGAGCATCACCCAGTAGTACCATCAACCGTCAATTATCATCCAGCAGTTCAACCATCGATACCCAGTATTTCCACCGATCGTCGATCATCACCCAGTAGTTCCACTACAGTGTGTTTGTCTCTGTGGGTTTTTTTCTTATATCTTGTTTGCATTTTTTTCATTTTCTTTATTTTGTTTTATTTTATTTTTATTTTTTAATACCTGTGTGTGGTGTGTGTGTGTGTGTGTGTGTGTGTGTGTGTGTGTGTGTGTGTGTGTGTGCGCGCGCGTGCGTGTGTGTGTTTTACTAGGGATTATCGACAGTTGGTGGTACTGTCCATGATGATCGACAGTGGGGGAAAACAACTGGCTGGTGATCAATACTTGGTGGAACATCTTGGTAAATGTTTGACAATGAAGGGGATGGGAGGGGAGGGGGGATGATGTAGAACTCCTGGGCGATTGTTAATCGACAGTTGGGAGATCTACTGGGGGGATGGAACTACTGTGGTATGGTTGACGATTTCTTCAAGGCCATCTCTATCCAGAGATGGCCGTATTTCTTGAGATGTTTTGCTTCTTAAAAATGCTTGTTGCATTTAACTACAGTTATAACCTAAACACTAGACAGACCACAATCTTTCTCCGTAAATCATTTCTATCTGAGAAGGCAACATTTGTAAACCGTGTGGTGTTCGCAGTTGTCTTTTTTCTGTAATACAGAAATACAGACAGACTCATACATACAGACACAAACATACATACAGACAGACAGACCGACAGACAGAAAGACAGACACAAACATACAGACAGACAGACAGACATACATACATACATAAACATATGCACACTCAAACGCACATACATACATACAAACATATGTACACACTACACACACACGCACACACACATCTCATTATTATGAAAATGAAAAGCGTCCTCTATCTCTACTCATTCTACCCATTTTCCTCAATGTAAAAATAATGAGACGATATTAGCTGCTAGAAGCGAGCCTTGAAACAAGAAAGGAGATAGCTGTGGGTTCCTTTCGTGTATTCAAGCAAGTGTCTAACATGCCATTCCAAATGCATCAATTCATACATAATAATGACATACAAAAGTAATCATTGATATCCTATTAACATTTCAACCTACGTCAGGTAATATAAGCAATGTATTGCATAACAGAGTATGTACGGTAACTGCTTACATAAACAGTTATTTTGAACTAGCATTTACAATGGCACGTATTTCGAAGAGTGCTTCAGTATTCAGTATCGTAGGAATGTGCCAAACTTAACTCTGGCATGTTCTAAACGATATTTACAAAGAAATAACAAGTCAGACATAAACAAGAATAACGTTTAAATGTTTCTTACCTTGAAAAAAGAAAAGAGAGAGCTGTGAGTTCCTTGGGTTTATTCAAGCAAGTGTGCCAGAGGTGGAAAACCCAAGATTTTACACCTCCCAGCTCTACTCGTTTATCGTTAACAAATTTCTCTAAAGTTTCCAGATGCACGATGACACAAAGTTTACAACATGAGGTAGGTGGTAAGAAGGCAATTACCTAAGAAGACTTGATCATGTTTATAGTGTAGCCACTGTCAACTTGCGCCAGCTGCTAACAAAATTTCTGTCAGCGCTTGGCCATGGCAACAATGACAAAATCTTGGTCAACAAAAGTTGATTTTCGATTATTACAACTTAGCTGGTGGTAAAACATGCACCTGCTGGGATGGGAATACTTGTCTGCAATTGATCAAGGGATGTACTCGAGAAGAAAGTCCAGTACCGACACAGCTGACTAACTTTATCTTCGATTAAATAGTTAATGGTTGGCGTGGACGCGTTTCATAGTTTATTAATGCTGCGTTGGACATGCGGGCCATGAACAAGAAATATTATGCACAGCGACTTGCACATACATTGACTTCCCTTGTTAAGAATTATTTGTGAAAAATATAAACGTGTATGAAGAAATATATGCAGTGTAAAATATACATGCTGGTAAAATCAATGAACAGTTGATTCTACTGGAAATCCTCTGACGCGTTAACTGGCTAGAAGCATCAGACAGTTCAAATGTTTTCCCTGATTCAACACATGGATAAGCCGGAGTTCTACTTTGACTACTCATGTGTTTCTGTAGAGTGTCTGAAGGTGTACATCCTTTCCCTAGCCCAACACAGTTATCTTCAATCCTTGATCCCACTGTGAATTCGCATGTGTTTCTGAAGGCTACCTGATTGTGTAAATTTTTTCCCACATTCAACACATTCATAAGGCTTGATTCCAATGTGAATCCTCATGTGTGTCTGCAAATTACTTGATTGTGTAAATGTTTTCTCACACACAATGCACTGATGAGGTTTGATTCAACTGTGAATCCTCATGTGTGTCTGCAGATGATCTGAATGTGTAAATGTTTTCCCACATTCAACACATTCATAAGGCTTGATTCCACTGTGAATCCTCATGTGTGTCTGCAGATTACGTGACTGTGTAAATGTTTTCTCACACACAATGCACTGATGAGGTTTGATTCCACTGTGAATCTTCATGTGTATCTTCAGACTCCCTGGTTGTGTAAATTTTTTCCCACATTCAACACATTCATAAGACTTGATTCCTCTGTGAATCCTCATGTGTCTCTGCAGACTCCATGATTGTGTAAATTTTCCCCCACATTCAACACATTGATAAGGCTTGATTCCAGTGTGAATTCTCATGTGTTTCTGCAGATAAGGTAATAGTGTAAATGTCTTCTCACACACAATGCACTGATGAGGTTTGATTCCACTGTGAATCTTCATATGTGTCTGCAGACTATCTGACCGTGTGAATTGTTTCCCACATTCAACACATGCATAATGTTTTGCTCCACTGTGAACCTGCCTATGTACCTTAAGATTATACAATCGTGAATATTTTTTCCCACATTCAACACATTCATATGGTTTGATTCCTGTGTGAATCATCAAGTGTTTCTTCAGAGTACCCGATAGTGTAAATGTTTTCCCACATTCAACACATGGATAAGGCTTGATTCCACTGTGAATCCTCATGTGTGTCTGTAGGACATGTAAGTGTGTAAATGATTTCTCACACACAATGCACTGATGAGGTTTTATTCCACTGTGAATCTTCATGTGTGTCTTCAGAGTCCCTGATTGTGTAAATGTTCTCCCACATACAACACATTCATAAGACTTGATTCCTCTGTGAATCCTCATGTGTGTCTGCAGACTCCTTGATTTTGTAAAAAATTCCCACATTCAACACATTCATAAGGCTTGATTCCAATGTGAATTTTCATGTGTGTCTGCAGATAACGTAATTGTGTAAATGTTTTCTCACACACAATGCACTGGTGAGGTTTGATTCCTCTGTGAATCCTCATATGTCTCTTCCGATTACCTGATTGTGTAAATGTTTTCCCACATTCAACACATTCATAAGGCTTGACTCCACTGTGAATCCTCATGTGTATCTGTAGGTCACATAAGTATGCAAATGATTTCTCACACACAATGCACTGATGAGGTTTGATTCCACTGTGAATCTTCATGTGTATCTGCAGACTACCTGATCGTTTGAATTTTTTCCCACATTCAACACATGCGTAATGTTTTGCTCCACTGTGAATCTGCCTATGTACCTTAAGAATACATGATTGTGAAAAATTTTTCCCACATTCAACACATTCATAAGGCTTGATTCCTGTGTGAATCCTCATGTGTCTCTGCAGATTAACAGATTGTGTAAATGTTTTCTCACACACAATGCACTGATGAGGTTTGATTCCACTGTGAATCTTCCTGTGTGCCTGCAGATTCCCTTGTTGTGTAAATTTTTTCCCACATTCAACACATTCATAAGACTTGATTCCACTATGGATCTTCATATGTGTCTTCATTTTAACTGATTGTGTAAATATTTTCTCAAATTCATAGGACTTCATTCCACTGTGAATCCTCATGTGTGAGTGAATGTTCATTATTTCTTACGTTCAACGTGAATCTGCATATGTACCCGAAGAGTATCTCATCTTGTAATTTTTTTCACCACATTCAACACATTCATAGGGTTTGATTTCTTCATGTATGTCTGAAGATTATTTGATAGTTGGAATGTTTTCCGACATTCAGCACACCGAGTCTTGATTCCACTGTGACAGAGCATGGACCTTTTCTAGTAACCTGATTTCAAAAATGTTTCCAGGCTTTCACAACATGTATGAGACTGCTTTGTTGGTTTTTGATGATTCTCCAAACCATTTGGAAACTATTTCCAGTGTTCAATCAACGAGTTCTTTCATTAGATCACCGGTTTCCGGGTTCTTTAGATCCAGCGACAGAACCTATCCTGAGAATACAAGTTTTAAACATGTGATTTTCAACGACATGTATGGTTGTCTTTGTAATGAAATGTCTGTTCATGTCACCATGATCGTGTAAAATAATGTATGTACAATTTATATACTGAACCGCAAAAGAAACGAAAGTTGATTGAGAAATGTCAATATATCTGAATCTGTGGAACAAACAATCTTAACACTATGAAAAAACAACAGACAAGTGATTGTTGAAGAAATGAGTCGTGATCTCTGGTGAAAACAACACTCAAGTTTACTGTAAAAGCATATGTTATCACTCCACCCTCACACACCAAAAATGTCACGAAACAGTGTGTCAATCAGTAGCGCGTGTGACCTCCATTGGCTGCAAGCAGGCAGCACAACGACGTCTCATCGAGTCAACAGGTGTCTGAAAGAAGGCTTGGGGAATTTGATTCCATTCCCTGACCAATCTGGCTTCCAAATCTCTAAAGTTTTGAGGTTGAGCAGCTGTCTGTATCTGTCTACCAATTTCATCCAACACATGCTCGATTGGTGCCATATCCGGGGACAGAGAGGGCCAGGGCAGTACAGCAATGTTGTTCCCTCTGAGAAATTCCATAGAGACCCGTGCAGTGTGATGACGAGCATTGTCCTGCTGGAACGTCTGGAGCTGAGGTTGGGCCTGGAATAGCGGTACAACATGGTGTTGAAGGACCTGGTCTCTGTGGTGGTAGCTGAAGCCACCCCATACCATGAGACTTCCACCTCCCCAGCGGTCAGCTTCCACAACACAACAGTTGGCGTAACGTTCATTACATCGTCTCCATACACGTAATCGGCCATCGGCGTGGGACAAGTTGAATCTGGACTCATCAGAAAACAACACTTGTTGCCATTTTTTGACGTTGCCAACACTGGTGTTGTCGCGCCAACTGTCAACTATTTTGGCGGTGACGTTGCGTCAGAATCGGTCCGACGTAAGGACGGCGACATCTGATCCCTGCTGCCCTCAGACGACAACGAACAGTGTCTGCAGAGATGTGACGTTGTGGCCCTTGAATGGTTGCAGCTGTCTGTGTTGCTCGTTGCTGTCGGTTACGCAGATGAGTAACCCGGATGTGACGATCTTGCGCTGGCGTTGTTACCCTGGGATGTCCTGAACGTGGTCAGTTTCGAACATTACCGGTTTGACGATACCTTGCAGATAGTCTTGTGATTGTTGTCACGTGACATATGAAGTGCCTGGCCACTGCAGATGGCGTGGATCCAGTCTGCAACATTCCAACGGCGATTCCTCATTGCTGTTCAGTTAAACCTGGCATGTTTTCTTCGCATTGTCACCGTACATTTTGTGTTCTAAGGTGTTTTGTTTAATTACCTGCCTTATAAAGCTTCAAATTGGAGTGAAATGCACACATTTGTGTGTGAAACACAACAACTGTTTGCAAAAAAGACGAAAAACATGAACATGATTGCGTTTGGGCAATATGGTCAGAATAAACGGCAACAACGGCAAAACCATCTTCGAATGCTCGGTTTTATAGTGGTATACATTGTTGTCCTGAAAGGAATGCATTTGGGACGTATGTTTTGAAAATAGTAACTTGCGTTTCTTTTGCGGTTCAGTATATTTAAGCTTCCTACTGGATATGGAAAGGCGTTGTGCTATGAAAATCTCTCATATCATCCTAAACGTGTTTCAGCACGTGTACCAGCTGTTGAAGTGCTGGCACGTGTGCATTACACTGAACACCTACATACCTTATTGGATTAGTATTCTATCCGTAACCCTAAACCCCTCAGGTAAAACTGCATTATACCAGGCACCTAATTCTATTATTCGCAGTGGTCAATGCATTTTATTTAGGGAACTTTTCATTAGTTCATTATAAGGAATATATTTTGGGGTTTAGTGTTAGGGACCTAACAAAGGGTTCATTGAGCACTCATCACTAAATCAATATTACGATGTTAACTACGCACAATGTAGATTTAGAAAGTTCAATCTGGTAGGTAGGTGTCCGGTTTAATGCATGTGTTTCACCCCTCAAAATAATCATATAAATGACAAATTGACGGAAGCTGCGAATAACAGGATATGGCGGAAGGGGTCCACTGTACTAATGCATTCTCAGCGAAGTGCAATTCTCCGTTTGCATTTCTCTCCTATCTAATTACTTCCGTCCTTCGAAACAGTGGCACACGGCTGATACAACATCGTTGTAGGGGGGAAGCATTGCTTTGGTCACAGAAGCGCCTATAGCGAAGATACCGAATGGTAGTCGAGAGGCTCATATCTTGGACCGCATGGAGGTATGGAGACCGCATTGCGGCTCTCGGCTAAGCGAACGGTAACATAATAGATACCGACGATTACGAACGAATGAGAAACAACTCAAAGAGTAAATGTTACTGAAGATACCGGCGAATTGAAATCTGTTGCATTTACTTACGTTTGAGTAGCACCACTGCGACCTCTCGGCTTCGGGATGATGTAATATTTTACGACCAGTTTTTCCGTAGCGAGAGCGGCTGTAGCTATTTTTAGAAAAGACTGGTTTGCTGCCTCTGTACTCAACGACCTGATCACCTTGGCGGCTGCCTCGTAGTAGTGAAGACAGTGTAGCGCCAGCGCAGAATACCCAGGGAACCAGGCTGACACCTCAATAGAGGCCGGGGGCCAGTCTGGTTTTGCTAACTACGCACAATGTAGATTTAAAAGTTCACAGATATATTTTATATATCATTGTTATGAATTTAACCTGTATTTATAGGCTGACATCAACAGTGTTTCAAGTAATACTAAAACACCCATATGAATATTGCAATGTTCTTGTTGTGTTTTTTGTTATTGTTGTTGTTGTTGTTTTTAATGTTGTTGCTTTACGTCGCATGGAGCAATATCCCAGCCCTGCATCTTGTTATTGTCGAGCTGAAACGATATTTCTTCCAATAACAATTGTTTGTTTTCATACAGATCTGAAGAGCTGAAACGGCCAAGGGCAGCCTGCTAGCTGTACATTTGGACGCATTAAAGCATAGTATGTTCAAAATTGTTAAAGTCATCCTTTGCAGTCAAGCCCTAATCTAAGTGATGTAAAAAGTTGAGGATCCTATCATCAGTTACGCGAGGTAACTCTGTACATCGATTACTCCGTGGCCCATGGTCATGATGAGATCGGCGACATATAGACTCCCTGATATAACAGCTATAAACGCTAGGTGTAGTAACAGAGTTTAGGTTCCTACCCCTTTCATGGAGTAACTGGGAACTGGGTCGCCAAGGGAACCTTCAACAGCACTCAATTCTTAGTTCACACACAGTACCCTGCTTTTCGGACCTGTAACGATCCCAGTTACGACGGATGTCCTAAAAGTTTCCAGCCTCACCATGAACGGATCGCACAAATTCAACAAAACTCCCTATGTTTCTACAACAGTATTGTAATAGGGTGAAATAAAAGCATTTATATTAACTTCATGTGTTGCGTTATTTTTATCAAAATGTATATACATCTACGTTGTTTTGGGTTCAACAGAGGTTCATTGTGTTCACAATGAGCAGTTGTCGGCAAATAGTGTTTTAAGTGCTTAAAGCAGGTCTCGTATTGTGATTTGTAATGATCACCTGGTTGATTGGGATTGGCTTATTTCAAATCATAGGTCATCAGCCATTTTTTACTCACACAGCACTTGTCACCCTCACCTGATGTGCTTTGCACTTGTCACCAGTACTTGATGTGCACAGCAAATGAACTAAATAAGCTACTTCCAAGGTTAGTAATTATAGTACATTACTGCTATATGCTTTTATTAATGAATAAATGACATAAATAAGTATCGTAAGTAAGCATTTTCAGTACAGTATTTGATAGTGTAATTAACAAATGTATGAATACTCTTATGCAAGAATGTGTGTATGAGTGATGATTTCATATATAACTTTGTATTATAAGTGTGATTGGATTATGCATATTTATATAAATCACACAATGAAGTAAACCTTTCCTTGTTGATATGTGTATTGTACAAGTTAATTGTTGTGTCTGAACTATTCTCAGTCACGTGACATATGTATATATTTTCATGTGTTATCATGTGTTTCATGTGTTGCTTGGCTCAGGTATCACAGTCCTGTAGTATGAGGAGGGTTGACCGCCGGTAACAACTCCCGTGTCACCCACAGGGTACGCAGGTTATAATCTATTTCGTTATTTATGTGTTGTAGACAGGCCGGAATAGGCCCAAAATGACGTCATCATCGAACACCTGGCTGACCTCATTTCACAGGGGTGTCCATGACCTTGTACTGAGTTGACCTTGGGATAAACCACTTTCCCAGGGGTATTTTTAGACTCGAGTGGGCAATATAAGCCCCCCCCCGAACAGTCCCCATGTAGATTTACATGTGTAAGAGTGTGATGTTCATTGTACAATAGTGTGTGTATTTGTGACTATTTGAGAATAAATCAATTTTGGTTGTCATTGGATGATGTGGTGTATAAAAGTCCTAACAAAAGGAAGGTGAAGGGAGAGCAGAGTGGCAAAGTGGAAGCGCACTGGGCTCATAACCCAGA